TCAAAATGTAACTGTGTAGTCATTTGTCTCTGCGAGCTCCATGTTTATTATATATGAAATAAATTTGAATGTATGCTGATATTGCTTTAGTGATATCACACCCTTTAGAAACACCTGACCTTCCCTTTTTATGATAAAATTAGTGTCCAATCGCATCTTCTTAGCTCTTTCCGTCAACCTCGAACGCACAAGTAAGAATACTATGGAAGCCCATTTAGGCCGTTTTGAGTAACAGGCTTAGAACTTAGAAGTTCCGTAAAGCGGGACAATGCCATATTAACTGCAAGGTTGACAAGAAGATGTAACTGATATTTATAAACCTTTTATAATATTTCTTTAATTTTATTTTTAATTTAAAGAATTGCAGAGGTATAGCTAGTACGTAAAAAGATGAAATTTACGATGAGGGACACAAGCGTCTAAAACTAATATTTGTTGCCTGTATTTGTTTATTATCCCAATTGTCAGATTTGGAACAGTATTTTAAATTGTGTATCTGTTAGTTTTATAATAATTAGAAAATGTCGATTTTCTAATGTGTATTAAAATAATTTGATTATTTCTCCTTTTGAAGAATTTTCCAGATGACAAAAAATGGTCTCTACATGGGCATGGAGGTTTGGAGTTTTGCTGTTTGTTATTACACCAGTAACAAGTGTTGTAATCACAGATTTATCTGTAATTCCCAGAGGAGCGCATTTAACATGACTAGAACTAATAAACTTGTGTGGCATGCAGATCCATGTTGATTCTGCATCCACGGAGCGATCTGTACAGTCGACACATTTTATGACCCGAAGTATCAAACAGTGACAACTCGTCCGCAGTGTAAGCGTCATACTACCCAGACAAATTAAACAAAATATGTGTTGCCCCTGTGCTCCTTCGTTGCGATAGAGGAACTGATAATTCAACGCTAGCAATGTACAACCATTTTTCAGATAAAAAAGCACAGAAAGCGTATCAGGGTTGAAAAAGTTATATGTATGGAAAGAGTGTAGCAAATCAGCGGTTTCAATCCTGGCAGGGATAACCTCGAAGACAAGGTTGCACTGGTGGATTTCATTTTTCAAGGATCTTATTGATGATTAAGTTTGGATATAGTAAATCATGTACACATTGAATTCTTTAGATATAATTTATACATTTGATCCAAGCAGAACTCTACATGATAAGCAAAACCCAAGAGATTTTACGGAAGACCTGATATAATGATTTTTTTACAAGGAATCTATGGCGGGTATAACTTTGGTCATCGTTTTGGTCATGAAGACATACAGATATGCCAGAACTTTATGGATCACTTTAATGGCTTCATTGTAACTTGTTTAAGTGTTACTCAACAAACAAGTTGCAGGGCGGCTTTTATTGACGCCCATCCTAAGTAAAAAAAAACATCTTATATATATAGCAATATGGCGGATTGAGATATCCTTACTAAACCTGAACTGATACAATTGATAGAACACGATAAGCTAGCGCCTATTGTAGGCAATGGTCATAATCAGGCGAGTTTGGTGCCTAGATTTGAACAAGAAAAACAATCTACCTTCTCCATTAGCGGAGGTACACATATTTAAGCAGAAGTGTCTACATTTTCCCACAAAAACTCAGACGTCAAAATCGAAGCAAGGGTGTAAAATTGTCGTTTATCTTTAATAAAAAATACTTTTTTTAAACGGAGGTCTCTGAAGTATTTTTCTCTACGAAACTTTTTAAAATCACGTGTGTTGTTTCCCGACTAATAAGGTATAAGTGCCCTACTATTAAGTTAAGCAAACTTTTACAGATATTTTACTTTTTGTTAGTTTTAGTAAAAACATACTTTTGTTAGAAAATAATTCCACAGACCAGGGTTTGTGGCGGGGGTGGGCCGCTCGTACCTGATAATAGTACTGACCTTTAAACTTGAAATCATATGGTCTACTTGCTTTGATATTATTTGATAGCAAGAGCGATCAGTGATCCCATGTGTCGCCTCATGATAGACATAACCCCGCAAAATATCGTTAAACTGGAAAACCTGTGTCATATGCACAATAATTTTTATTAACAACTTTTTTATTTAAGGGTCATAATTCGGCCAAAAACGTTCATTCGAAAATCCCGTGCAATATGCACAAGTTCACGGGATTTTCGGATGAACGATGAACCCATAGTTCAATTTACAATATATCAAAACAACAAATTGGAAACTTTCTTTATTAACTTAGTTAACCACAGTACACCGTTGGGAGGCACGTTATTTAGACCCTTTTAGTGGATAATTTCGGTCCATATTGCCTTTAATTACCAACAGACGATAAAAATGATTGCAACAACCCCCCCCCTCCGAAATAAATAGTAATTTTAGCAACTGACAATGTACAATTATATACGTCATAACCTTCTAATCATTTACAATGAAATTTTCTAAACTTATACTTAAAAGATAAATTAAAACGTATTACTGCCTGATATCCTCATTCATTGTTATGTTTTCCGTGCGTATGCCAGACAGGAAGGAAAAACTACGATGGTGAAAAGTCGATACAACGATAGTTAAAGTCGAAGTATATAATTTACGATAATAAAAAGTATAAAGTGAGTGAAGTGAAGTATAGTTTATTTCTGGTAACATAGGCCTCCCAACATGACAGAGCAATGGGAAATACAATGACAGAGCAATGGGAAATACAATGACAGAGCAATGGGAAATACAATCAGGTGACCATAAATATACATACTATATTGTAATTTGAACATTGGCATAAATAACATTGGTATTCATATAAAAGAAATTAAAAAGATATGAAGAGAATTTCGTATCACCAGATATATTACACTTTAATATAACTATTATACTGTGTTTTTCCTAATATACTGAATTGGCGTCTATATTCATGATCGAGAAAACGTGCTATAGTCTTATATACTACTCAAAGTTTGCTAAGCACCAAGTTAGCATCGTGCATTCTACATCATATACTGTTTTGATATTTACATTGTAAATCGTGTAGTAATGTATTAAGAGTGTACCTTGTGTACACATAACATGAATGACAGCTCATATCCACGTGCAAGTAGTGCAAACAAGGTGACCCTGTACTTTGATTGTCTTTATTAGACAGAGCATACACGTACCGACACGTGTAGGGTGTTCATTCTTCATTTTCCATTGAAATGTTGAACAATTAAGATTGAATAATGGCGAATGCAAAATTTTTGAAGGCATTTATCAGAATCGGGATGTGACGGGTTGATGGTATTGTGGAGCATTGGGCTGGACATCATGAGGTTTAGTGAGGTGTTTAGAGCGGACCATTCTGAGGTCATTCGAGCCTGGACGAGGTTCCAATAGAATGGTACACCTATTAGACGACATGTTGTTGGCATAACAAGGGTGACTACTGATGCTGAGGATCGTTTTATGGTCATTAAGGCACGAAGAAACCGTTTTGAAACTGCAACCCAACTTTGTTATGACCTTCAAAATGCTTCAGGGTTGCTTCTGTTAACACAAACCATGCTTACACGTTTGCATGAAAGGGTCTGAGATCCAAAAGACCATGCATACGGATCCCTCTGTCTAGAGACCACTGTCGGCTCCTAAATGATCGGGCTATGGACCATATTGGATGGAGCAGGATGGACTGACGGCCTGTCCTCTTCACCGAAGAGTCAAGGTACTGCCTATTCTACACAGATAGGCCTGCTAGAGTATGGCTAAGGTCAGGGGAACGGTTCCATAAAGCAAACGTTGCGAAACACGACCGCTATGGCGACGGTCTGGGGTGGAATCAGCTGGGATGTACGTACTGACCTCATTGTTCTCCACAGAGGCACATTGACTTCCCAGCGGTATCGAGATGAGATCCTCAACACCAAGGTAAGTTTGTATGCTTGTGCAATTGTTAATGGGTTCATTTTGATGGATGATAATACCCGTCCCCATACATCCAATGTCGTACAAGAGTAATTGGAAAGACAGGGTATTACTCGTTTGGACTGGCCGGCCCGATCCCCGGATCTTAATCCCATTGAGCATATATGGAACGATCCGTATTTCAGCTCATCGGCTCCATCCACGAAGCACCCAGGACCTTTTTGTCGCCCTTGTCGACGATTGGAATACCATCCCACAAGCCGTCCTAAGAAACTTGATACGGAGTACGCAACGAATGTCAAGCTGTAATTGACAACACTGGATCACATACTCATTATTGAGGTAATATCAGTTATTTGCAAAGATTTTTCAGGGCAAAAATGAGTTTTTCCACAATTTCCACCATAGCCGTCTAAACCCCAGTTTCATTATAATAAAAACAAATCAACATAAAACACATTCTATTGGTAACGAATTCCTGAATGATTTTTATAAATCACTATGTCACATATAAGAACAGACATAAATCTAATATTTGACATATAACATAAGATAGGTACAAAAACACTATTGGTGCTTAGCAAACTTTGAGTAGTATAATAAAATTATAATGTCTCGTCTGCGTTTCTTAGAACAGATATAGATTTTTCACGTGAAGAATTTTTCAGCGATACATCTAGTTAAATGTTTAAACGTATACCATTAAAGTGAGTACAAATCAATAGAATGTGATATTTATCATCTAGGTCCATAAAACAGAGAGCGCATATTATTTGATCAATTGGTATATTATTAAAGAATCTAGTGTCATAATCAAGGATAGTAAACCGTGTCTTAATTTAAGAATGAGTGACCTTAAATATGAATTTGCAATTTGATCTAGATATGATTTTCTTATTACAAACAATTTCAATATTTTTATAAAACACAAATCGAGGTTTTGTTATCTTACCAGTGTGTTTTCTTTTTCTCATGCAAGTATTTTCAACTTTTCACCATCAAAGTTTCGGTATTTCAATTTTTCGCCATCGTTATTTCGTTGTTTTGTCTTATGTGCGTGTCGCGATGGCCCTAACGGGACACCTTCGCAGGCATATTTTCAGCTATTTTTAGGACGCTTATCACCGAAAAGAGTTTTAATTTGCATTCGATGATTTAATGTGAGGGAATCCAATTTGTTATCAGTAGTTGTTTTCAAAACCATGATTTCAATTCATATTTAGTGTACAGTTTATTGTGTTAAGCATTTTCTTAAACGGGATTTTAAGTTTTGAGGTATGTTTATTTTCTAATCATAACATAAAATATGTAGAAATAAGACAGAAACTCCACAAAAGTAATTTAAGACTCTTTAAAATGTGTAATCATATTAGATAATTGTTGACATATTATGAAGCTTTTACTCTGTATACAAATTCGTTTTCCTTAAATATCAATTTTCACGACATTCCTTAATATGTTCTAAACATGTTTTTGTAGATGATTTGTTTGGCTGTAAAGCCTATAAATATGTAAAACAATTTACGTTTTATATAGAGAAATGAAGCTTTCCATCAAATATTCTTCTTCAGATTCTATCTAGTATTATTCTACATGTTTTAAGAGGTTGCAATTAAATACAGGGATACTATTGCCCCATATCAAGCGGATTTATATCCCGCGGCTATTTAAAGAATCAAGAAACACTTTATCTGCTGATTTTGAAAATTTAATACTTTACAAGTTTAAGATTTTAATATCAAATTAGCTACTACCAATAAAGAGTATTAACCGAACCGACTTCAAGCTGTTGGAAAGCCTGATCAATTTCTTTTCCAGCAGGTTAAGTGTTAAGTTTAAGAGATGTTATATTTCCGAACCTTTAAAGATCGTTCAGCACGACATTATTGTTGTGTTTGTGTTACTTTTATTTTTACTGTTCGGCATTTTTCTAGTTTGGTGGTTCCAATATTCCTAGTTGAATACTGTTTATTCACCCCTAGGATATATTGCCTGCTTTTTAAATTTGTCTTTTGACGTCTTATCTGTGATATGCAGACTTCATATCCTCTGATCTCCTTTCAAAATTCTATTTTGTTTTGTTCCGCCCATTGTGCTAGCGTACTTTTACTTGGGGACCATACGCCGCCTTTACATTGAAGGTTCCATTAATACCGCCGTATCAACACATCTGCAGATGTTTCTAAATTGGACATTTCACCATTTTTATGTCTAAATGTTAAATCCTGTTTAAACCGGTGCTAGGGTTCGGGATGGTAGTTTGCACTTGACAGTCAATCAATTCGAGCCTGCAACATTTTCAATTTTGCCGTGTTGGACTCAATTTTGCCGTTTTGGATTTTTTTAGGGATTCCTATTTCATGTATTTACCGTAAAGAATAATCATCACGTTATCTAAAAATGGTAACAACTGGGTTTTACCTCCGCTAAATTAAGAATATCGTTGCTTATCTACAGTTTGTGTGCTTTGATTTCCCCGGTAAAGTATTTTCGTATGATTACACTATTTTAAAACTTATTATGTCTCCCAAAATTTTTGGGAGACATTGCTTTTGGCTTCGCCGTCTGTCTTTTCGTCCGGCCGGTTGTCCGTCCGTTGTCCGTCAGTCCGCATTAAGCTTTAGCGCCCTTCACAGGTGTGATTTCAACCAAACTTTACAGGAGTGATCAGGACCATCCCTTGCTGTGCACATCACCGACACGTTCCGCTTCGCAGCACAATGGCCGCCAGAGCTAAAAATAATAGAAAATCTTGTCTCAAACTTCTTGTGGGATTTCAACTTAACTTTACAGTAGTGATCAGTTCCATCCCTAGTTGTGCACATTACCGCATGTTCCGCTTGGCTGCACAAAATGGCTGCCAGAGCTAAAAATAGAAAAATCTTGTCCGGCCTTCACAGGTCAAAATACTGTTGGGATTACTAAACAGTTACCTATCAATATCTCGTAAACCCGTCACATTGACATTGTATGTCAAACCATTTCGACAACCCATGAAATCTTGACCTTCAAACTTCTTAATTGCATTGCTTTTGGTCCGAAAATGACGTAAATTGATTTTTTGGCGACAAGGGATCAGAGGTCAAGATCTCATTGAGCTTATAGGTGAAAACGGTTTCTGATCAATATCTCAAAACCATGTGCCTTTTACCTTTAAACTTCACAAGTGCATTAGTATTGGCCAGTAGATAACCCCTTTTGATTTAACAGTCAAAAAACGCTAAAAATGATGTTGGTCTAACATTTTAAGGTCTAATGTAATATAACAAATTGGCCGTCATTAAGGAGGCTGCCGATCTGTGCAGTACATGTTTTACAAACATATCTTGTCAATTCTAATTATTAACTTTTAACTCGTTGATATTGATTTAAATAAAAAAACTTTGGATAATTATATTCGTTTGTTTAAACATAAAAATATTTATTTGTTGTATCTAAAACGTGAGCTTGATTAATTTAAGTTGTGTGAAATGGAAACGTGATCCCAAGTACTATTTACCGGTGTTAAAAGAATTGATCATAAACTATTTGTATTTATGTTTCTCAATGTAAAGTAATAAGTACTTGAATTTCCTACATATTAAATATGGCACATTAGTAAAACAATGGAATACCAAAAACAATGACTTGTCTGTATATTTATAGTTTTATTTAGCTAAATATTGTATAGTTTACCATCGTAAAGAAAGAAGAACGCAAAACGTCTTGAATGAATTCCAAATTTACTTCCTTTGATTATTTATAGTTATATTTAATATAAGATTTTAACGAAGAATTTCATATATGATTATATTGGCACATTTCATAAAAGATTATAATAAAGGATTTCATATAGGATTATAATGACACATTTCATATTAGATAATAAATGAAGTATTCATATAAAATAATAATGATACATTTCATATAAGATTATAATGAAGCGTTTCAAATAAGATTATAAAGAGTATTTCATAAAAGGATTATAATGACACATTTTATATCATATTATAATGACACATTTCATATAAGAATAAAATAACATATTGCATTTGTTATTATAATTAGTAATAAAAATGCGTTTCTTTTTTCTGAATATGACAAGCGAAAATCCCACATTTGAGCAAGTGTACCAATAAGGCATATTAGCGCACTTGCCAAGTGTGCCAAATCGCATATTGAGGCTATTTCCGGCCATCACGCACCTGTTGTCCAGTAACGGCAGAACGTCCGCGCGTGTACACGTTAAGTAATTGACAACTGCATGACCGCCGAGAGGACTTTGAAATCTTTGGCGAATCGTTCGATGGATTATGATAATCTAATTGAATAAAAAAGACAGCCAGCTGACACTAATGCTTTGTGGAAAGTATGAGAAACGATTAGTCAAGTTTGCCAAATCACATGCCACGTTCAATAACACGATTGCCTGCCTTAAAACAGTGCCAATATCTATATCACGTTTTGGCTACGGGCATTTGAAGTAATTTGATTGGCTAATAAAGCAGGGTCATAAAAAGATATAGATTTCTGCAAAAAAAATGGGAAATGGCAGCCATTTTGTTTTAACTCGGTCTATGTATAGACGCCGACAGGTTGCATGAATGAAGTTTCTTAACTTTCACGTCATGATTGAGTGGTATTTAACCGACTGTGTTAAAATTAACAACGTGTAGATTTAACGAAAACACAAACACACATTTACCGACTTGGATCCATGAATTGCAAAGAAGAAATATCTGAGGATTAAATGTGAAATATTATAAGTACATGTAGTTATTTAATAAAATTGACAATAAATAAGTAATTTGATAATGGTCCTGTTATTTGTCCTTGGGTCAGTCGTATTGGCCCTCGGCTTTGGGCCAATACGACTGCCCTCGAACAAAAAACAGGGCCAATATCAAATCACTTATTTATTAACATATAATAATGACATATTTCATATAGGATAATAATGACATATTTCATATAGGATAATAATGACATATTTCATATAAAATTAAACTGACAAATTTCATTTAAGATTATAATGACATATTTCATACATGATTAAAATGACACATTTTAAAAAGGTTTATAATGTAACATTTCAGATAGGATTATAGTGATACATATAAAATAGGATTAAAATGACAAATTTCATATAGGACTAAAACGACTAGATAGGACATATGACATACACATTATAATCACACATTTCTTAATAGGATTGTAATAAGACATTTAATAAATGATTAAAGTGACACATTTCATAAAAGATTATAATGACGCTTTTCATATAGGATAAAAATGACATATTTCATATAACATTATAATAACACATTTTATATAGGATTATAATGACACATTTCATTGAGGATTATAATGACACTTTTCATATAAAATTATAATGACACATTTCATAAAAGATTATAATGGCGCATTTCATATAAGATTATAATGACACTTTTCATATAAAATTATAATGACACATTTCATATAGGATTATAATAACACATTTCATATAGGATTATAATAACACATGTAATATAGGATTATAATGACACCTTTCATATAAGATTATAATGACACTTTTCAGATAGAATTATAATGCCACATTTCATATAAGATGATAATGATACATTTCATATAGGATTAGAATAGCACATTTCATGTAGGATTATAATGACACATTTTATATAGGATTATAATGACATATTTCATATCCGATTTTATTATATACTTTGAAATGAAATATTGAGAAATATTGATGAAATAAAATGCGTATTTTCATTTTCCGTATTTTCACTGTAAAAATTTATTTTTCACTGCAGTGAAACATATTTTCCGTATTTTCACTGGTGTCTTGCCGGACTACTTTCTTTTAAATTCTGCCAGTACTCAAAATTTAAGGGAAAGTCTTGCAAATTTTAATGTCCAGAAAGAGAAAAATGTATATAATAAACAGAAAATTCAAGTTTTTTCTATAAATACATGATTTATTTTCATCTTGCGGCATGAAAATTACCATATTTCACTCTTGGCTACCGCCACTCGTGAAATATTTATTTTCATACCACTCGATGAAAATAAATCATGTATTTATAGAAAAAACTTGAATATCCTCTATATAATGACATATTTCATATCCGATTATAATGACATATTTCATATGAGATTAGAATAGCATATTTCATGTAGGATTATAATGACATATTTCATATAAGATTATAATGATACATTCCATATAGGATTATAATGACACATTTCATATAAGATTATAATGATACATTTCATATAGGATTATAATGACA